GAGGATAGTTTAACAGACTCCCTTCCTCCGCGGTTCATTAGTGATTGTGTTGGGTGTTTGGGTTTCACAGCCCACCTGGCCACCAACCTTTCATGTAGGTTCATACTTACCTGAAAAACCAGGAAATCATATTCTCTTGATTAACCCTCAGTATTTGTTATTAAAGCATAAAGATTTGAGGGTCAGGTCCTTGGTGCCTGTGTCCAAAAATGGGAGAATCATTTTTCTATTAAAATATCTAAAAAGTTCTCACATGCTTAGCAAGAAAACTAAATTAGACCTGCACTGGGTAAAATTATAAACATGCTGTCTGCCTCAGATGAGTAAGAATATATAAATAGAACAGTTGGTATACACGGCCTCAATAGTATACCTTCCTTTTTTTCTATATAATGTATATCACTAAATGTGAGCATTTCCATCTGACTTAAGTTGTCAGTCTCAGAAGAGCACATTGTAAGGTTTAGTACTTGTTAACACAACAATCTAAGATTGCCCTTTTCTCTGGCTTGGTGATTTTTTTTTTTCTTTTCCATATCCAGTGGTTAGTACTAAGGCTTGAAACCCTTAGTTACAGAACAAAGTAGCTTAGCAGTAATGGAGCCTGTGTGAGGCTAAGAATAATGAACATTCCCTGCAAGCTTCCTGCCTAGATGCAGGTGCAGGAATCAGGAAGTCATGAATAATGTATGACATGCAGATAAGGTGCTGGTTTCTCTTACTGGGGTTTTTGACTTTGCTACCTGCCTGTGTGCTATATGTGGAAAGAAGGTAGGCGATGGCAAAAATTGTCACAATTTAAAGACCAAGCTAACAAAAATGCTGCATATTCCACTTGAAAAAAATACATTTTCATAGGCAACTGAAATGCAAATATTTTTGGTCTGATTTTCAGATGAAGTAAACTTCAGGTTATCAAGCCACTCATTTGAGAAGATTTGGGGACATAGCTTTCTTGTTCAGTTGTTTTAAGAGATGTTACAATTATTTGTTCATACACATACAATCAGGATTCTTTGAAGACTATTAAAACACTACAAAAATTATCTACTTAAAGTATTTGACCTATGAATCAATGTGATTTTGTGAAAAAGATACAAATGCCTAGAGAATTTAAGCAGGCTCATTGTTCTGCATTGATATATGTGCAGTGAGAAGTATCAATAGGGGCCCCCCTTGTGGCCTAGGGGTTAATAAGTCTCAGCAATATCACCACCAAGGCCTGAGTTCATCCCCAGTGAGGAGCTAACCCACATGGTGCAGCAGACCTCTCCTGACTTGCCTGCTGCTCCCCTCAGCAGTGTATTTCAGTCAGTCTGCCTGTTCTGCTCCCCACTCTGTCACTAGTGAATCCTCTCATCCTCCCACACCTCTGACCTGTACCACAGTTCTTGTATGCATAAAATAAATAAATCTTTAAAAAAAAGAATATGGAGTGTATTAAAGAACTGTGAGTATTTAAGGCTATTACTCCTTAAAACTATATTTAGACAATAGTGCTCTGACTCTCTAGTAGAGATATAGGGAAGGCTCAAGAGAATTACCTGCATTTTCCCTTAGGTCAACATCCTTTTCCCCCTAACAAAAGGGCTTTAACTGGGGGAGACTGTTTTTGTCTCTTAATTGTATTTTGATGATTATACTTTGAGCAGAGAGGGAAAAAAGAAGAGCACAATAAATCTTGCCACCTTTTGTATAATTATGCATTTTTATTGTATGTTCTTCCTCTCTCCAATTTGGGGTGCTGGAGTATGAGCTGGCTTTCATTTTTAGCTGAGTCTGTCATTTCCGCTGGGCCCCAGTTTGGCCAGATGCCAAGACCAACAGGTGATCCTTGTAGCTGCAAAACAGCAGGAAGTGGGCTGTGCTTGAATGAGACAGTTCACCAGAGGGGCTGTCTGGCCTCTCTCCATCTTTCTGCATAATTAACACCCCCTCCCCCATGCCGAGCAAAAAATCTGTGCTGAGCAACTCAGCTGCTGCAGCCATTGAGAAGCACTGTGAGGAAAAGAATGTTAATAAGGGCTGTTGGAAGAAATAAGCCTTCCTGGTGCAAAGTGCAGTCTGGCTCTGGATTTATAGAAATACTGCTGTTGGCCCTTCTCAGAGACTAGAACTGTGTTATCTGTTTTGAAATGATTTTCATTTTCTCAAAAAATCTGGAGAACTAGGACTATAATGGACCTTGAAGTTGTTGTTTCTAACCAGACTTTAAGAACCTGCTTAACAGGAATCTAGAAAACTTAAATAAGGGACCAGGAAAACGAATAACTATAAGAAAGTGAAAATCAAAATCAACAAAAAACTACGAACCAGAGACACTTTTAAGGGGGCGGGGGTGGGAGGGGAGAGATTGGGGTCAGAATGGGGGGGCTGCAATTGTATGGGGAATATAAAAATAAAATTTATTATTTAAAAAAAAAAAAGAACCTGCTTAAAATTCATGTTTTCTTTCTTTTTTATCTTGTGAGGAAGAGTAATTTCGGAGACATGAAGAATAAAGATGACACCAACTAAAGGAGGCCTAAATCTCAATCCTAGCAAAGAAAGAACAAAGCAGGAAATTAGCCAGAGGAAGCAGGAAATAAGGCAATTGTGTGGCCAGTTACACACCCATACAGAGAGGAAGGTTTGTTACAGGGCAGGGAGAGGGGCAGCCCAAACCCCGCAAACCTGCCTATTTTATATAGGGTTCTGCCATCCGCCGCATTAACACAAAACAGACTTTAATGGGAAGGAACTTTAATGCAATTAGGAAACAATACAGGAAAGGCAAAGAGTCTAGTTTCTAAATGAAGCACCCAAAGTTACCCGTCCCCTCGTGGGTAAAACTCCATCCAAATGGGATTGGCCCAGAGCAAGGCCACAAAGCCTGCCATAAGTCTAAAGCATCTTCCAGTGGGGACCCACAGAAAAGGGTCAGAAACAACCAGACAAGCCCGGAAGGAAAAGAGCAAAATCAACATCAAGATAAAAGCTGCCATTGTCACCTCCCCACGGGTCTCACCCACATCTGTGTCACCCAGTCCATGACCAAAAGACAAGCGCAGTTTCTTCATGTGTCTCTAGGCTCCATGTGCCTCCTCCAGGTCTCCTTCTGGCTCCATCCTGCTTCCTTCCTCAGTCTCCTCTGCAGCCTCTTCTCTCTCTCAGCTCCACCCTCCTTTTGGGTGGGGCAGGGAACCTGGAACCTCCCCCTGTCCTGGGGACCACCCTGTTACAGGTTTAGCATTTGGCTCCAGATTGGCAGGTGTCAGCTGTTCCTGGAAACTAAAACTATTTCCAGTATATGTCTGTAGCCCTGGAAGCTTCTAAAACAATAGATTTCACGTCTCCATTATTTGGTTAAGGATTTGAATTGACTTCTGCCTCACTCTAAGCCTAGCTCTAGACCAAAACCTCTGGGAAGACCATCACATATTTCTCTGGCAATACTTGTTTACCCCTTCTTCCTTCCTCATTTCCCACATATCCCATTCCTAGGCATTTAGATGAAATTATTCGGGGTGCGGGTAGAGCAAAGGAAGAACTTCTCTACCCCCTTAGGTTCAGTGTCTGGAGGTCCTGAAAATTAAACTGACAATGAACAGTTTTCACAAAAATTTAAAAAAGCATATGCATGCATACATACAGGAGTACTCGCTGATGAGTAATTCAAAGGTGGGTAGAATTTGGAGCTTATATGCCATTTTAACTCTGGAGAAGTGACTAGTCAAAGTAAAAGGGAGTGGGACTGATGTTGGTTTTGGAGTCAGTGGGTACCTGCTTGCATTTTATGCTTTGTGATGTAGGCATTGGTGCCTAAGGATCTTGGTTTCTGTAGCTAGGTCAATGGCTATGCTAATCCATCTACCCCCACCTCTTGGCATTGTGTGAGGCAGGTTTCTGGTCTTGTGGTGCCTCCTTTCCAGTTTTTCTATTTTTGTCCTCCATCAGGACTCTTAAGGGTGTTAATCCAAGTAGATGGCTAGGAAATATATGGTAAAACCAATAGCAAATAAGGGTGGTTCATGCATACTCACCTCAGTGCCACCTCCCGGGTTGTGTGTTGTACTTCTCTTCCTCATATGAAAGAGGCAGACACCTCTGCAAGCAGAAATTTCCTTTACAAAATGAAAATTTGTTTCCTGGTCTCATAGTATTCTTCCTGAGTCTGCTGTTGTTCAGTTGCCTTTAGCTCAAGTTAATACTTAAGCCAAAGGAGCATTTTTTTGGGGGGCGGCCAATTCTGATACCCTTTGTTATCTTGCTTTTTAGGGTTGGAAGTCTAGAACTTGACTGACAGAGTATGTACTTCAGCTGTTTCTCTGCACCTTCCTTGTAGAAACAGGCATCAAAAAAATAGTCGCCGAGTGCAGGCCCATCCTTACATGACCACTACTGGCTCCCAAACCTGGTGGGCGTTTAGATAGTCAGTGAATTTTTGAGGACTGAGAAATCGATCAACTAAAACTGCTGTTCCAGGGGCCTCCCTGTTGGCACAAGGGGTTAAGAAGCAGCACTATGAAGCTACCTGCAGCCACTGTAGCAGAAGTTTGAACCCCAGCCAGGGAGCTACCCACATGGAACAGCAGACCTCTCCTGACTCACCCGCTGCTCCCCTCATCAGTGTATTTCAGTCAGTCTGCCTGTTCTGCTCCCCACTCTGTCTCTGGTGAGTCCTCTCACCCCCGCACCTCTGGCCTGTACCCCAGTTCTTGTATGTATAAATAAATATATCTTTTTAAAAAAATAATGAAAACTGCTGTTCGTGATTTTAGGGGTCTTGACAATGAACATGGTGACAAACCCTTACTATGTTAAAAGTTGTAAAGAAATAGAGATTATAGGTTTGCAAGCACAGAAATTTGACTGCATTTGTTTACTAATTGGTGAGCAAGTTCTGGGTGATTTAAGCAAATCTAAAAGAGATCTTTATAAACCAGAACCCTGTTTTTGTTTGTTCATTTGTAATCAGGAGTATAATATTTTATTGATGGATCATTCTCATCTGTCTACAGGGTACACCCATCCCCAGTATCAAGGGTCCGGGGAAATCGAATGAATAACCAGAAGTTTGCTTGGTGAGTAAACAGTCTAATTCATGAGAATTTGTAGAGCTGTGGCTTATAACTTTAATAAGCCTGTGTTTATGTGAAAAAGAACTGTTCCTGCTTCTCTATAGAGAATTTATTTCTGCTAAGTAAACTACATAGTTTCCCTTCCTTTGGAAAATCTAAAGAAACAGTAGTCTCTTTCCAGTCAAAATTCTTCACCCATCCAAATCTGAGAACAACATTTTTTTCTTAACAAATATGGTATATTCCCCAGGTTTATTACATTTTAAAGAATATTTCCCTTCTATGGAAGTTACTGCAAGGTTTTTATCAGGTTTAGGTAGCAACTCAGTTTTCTCAGATACCAAATTCCACTTCTTATGAAAATTTTCTTAATTAATCTACTATATTAATTTTGATTTTTACTACTTAGATGATTTTTTTTGACCTTGGCATTAAATAGGTATTTTTTTTTAATTGAGGAACATGGAGATCTTTCCTCACTGATTTTTGAGCAAAGATATAGATGGAGCTAACCAGAAATGACTTGAAGAGTTATTTCAACCATCAAATATTGAGTCTTTAAAGAGACAATTTAAAGTGTTTCACAAATGTTTCATGTGAAACAAGAATAAATATAGGCTTGAAATTTGTATTTGTTTACTCCATTCCATTGCAAAATTAACCTTTCTATATATAATGTCTTTAAAAAAAATTGAATTGTGTTCTGTATTACTTCAAAGGTGATAAACATGCACAGAGCCATTTTTACATCACTAAATTGTACTTAACATAGGATTTTGATTAAAAAGTATGGCTTTTTATTTAAATATGGAAAGATGATTACCCAAGATTGAGGTTCTAAATTAATTTTATTCCTAAGTCAGGATTATTTTAGACACAAAATAAAGATTCTTTGAATTTGAATAGTGTCTAATCATCTCCCCTCCCTTCCCCCATTAAATCTAATTAACCCTCACAATAGCTTGGTGGTGTTGTTAAATATTATGCTTTTCTTTTTCACAGAGGGGAAAATGGAGCACAAAGAATACAGCCATTTGTCTAAAAGCTGGGGCATCCTTCTTGGTTTCTCACAATCACTAAGGCATGTTGTTCCCCATCAAAGCTGGAAAGCTGAGGGATAATAACTCTGATGGCCATTACTTAAAAGGAAAGGGAGAAACCAGGTCCCTTCTTGACTACACAGAATTGATATTCCTTCTCAATATGAGACATAATGTACTAAAGAAATTTTATTACATAAAGAGAATATAAGATGCTCAAGTGAGCAACATAAGCTCACAGAGAGCGTATAATATTATCAGTTATGAGATCCAGTTTCTGCAACTTATTCTCAGTGGCTAAATGTGGAACACTCAGTGCATAACACATTTTCTTTTCTTTACTTTTTCTTTCTGGAATATTGGAGTAATGATAACTTGTTCCTACATAATTCATAGCACATTATTTGGTTAGTAAGTTTAAGCTACTTTTATCTTCAGAGACATAATCCATGAAAAACAAAAGGACTTTTATGACTAGCCTTGAGGAAATTCAGCTTTCATTTATTCAGCAACATTTATTTACAGACCCTGGCACTGTGAGAAGCTCTAGATTAGAAAGATAAATAAAACATAGTTTCTGTTCTCAAGGAGTTCATTATCGTGTGTGTGTGTGTGTCTGTGTGTGAGTCTGTCACACATACATGTTATATGAAATACAAACAACATGAAATATGTAGTACAATGTGGATAATACTCTAAGATATATGTATAATTCTAAGGAAAATAGTATCAACTCTACTTAAGACCAATTTGAGAGTCAATTGTAGGGAAGCGGGAAAGTATGAAAGAAGAGGAATGTCAGAAAACCCATCCTAAAGAGGATTTTACATACACACACACACACATACACACCACACAGCAGATTAATTTTAGTGTACAGCATAATGTTTTTGAATTTGAATATATTGCAAAATGATCACCACAGTAAGTTTAGTTAATATCCATCACTATATATATATTTACAAAGAATTTTTTTCTTGTGAAAAGGACTTTTAAGATCTTTTCCTATAGTAAGTTTCAAATATGCAATACAGCATTGCTAGCTGTAGTAACCATGCTGTACATTACATCCCCGGAACTTATTTTATTTCCTGATGTTTGTGCCTTTTGACCTCCTTCAAAATGTCAAAGTTTGTGCCTTTCTTCTACCTGGCACCCATGTCCTCTCACAACCACCAGTCTGTTCTCCATATCGATGAGTCTGGTTTCTTTGCTTGTTTGCCTGCTTTTATAGACTCGGCATGTCAGTGAGACCACATGATATTTCTCTGTCTCGACCTGAAAGAATGGTTCTGAATAGAGATCTAGAATTAGTAGGGAAAGCAGAGGATTGAAACAGTGCTTCCTTTACAGAATGAGATACATACACAATGGGAGACATTTCTAAATTATTGTGGGAGCACACATGGTCTCTAACACAGGTGTGTTCCAACTATAGTTAATTTTATTACATATAGAAAATAGAAAAGAATATATGTATATGTGCATGTATATATGCATGCGCATGTATTTGCATATATGTGTGTACATATATATATATCTTTTAATATTCTTTAAGTAAAAATTGTGAGATTGGTATAAGGAAGTAAATTACCTATATCGGAAGAAGCCCAGTGAATTACCCAGCAACTACATCTAATTAAGTGATGAAAACTTGCTATTTCTTTGTGAAATATTGACTCTGAGAATCTGGAAAGTTTACATATTCATTCAAGAAATAAAGATGAAGGGAAAGTGATAGTTGTTCTCCCCAAAATACAAGTTTGGGGCAATTTATAGCATTAAATATGATGTTCAACACTAACTAGCTCTGGTTTGAGTTAGAGCTGAAAACATTTTATGTGAACAATGTTGGGTGATTTTATGAAGCTGGGTTAGCAGACCCTTCAATCAGGTAAAAAAAAATATTGTTCATCAAACAAGCAATTAAACTCTAGTAAAAAGTGAAAAGGCTTGAACTTAAAAGTTATGCATAAGAAATGCATGAGAATTGGTAGGTTGTAAAATGGCTATGGCTGTGGTTGAGCTTCCAACTCAGTATTTATTGTTGAGTAAAGATGGCTTAAAATTTTAAGTGATGTTTTTCTCTGCATAATGTTAACATGCAAGACAGCATCCACTGACCTCATTCCTGTAGCAGTATTTCCTCTGGAACTGAAAAAATGTGTGGAAAAGGATGTCTGTGCAAGACAGACAACCTGCTGGCATGGGAAGAAAGTGTGGTAATAAATGCACATATCCAGGGAGGAGATGAAAGCACAAGGCTCTGAAGGTCCAGTGAGCAGATGTTAGGATGGAGCCAGGTTTGCTGTAATAATGTGCTAACTGCCAGGGATTAAAGAATGGTAATAAGAACTTCTTGCAGGATATGTTAGCACCTCAAAAAGAACTGCAGATCATTCCACAATTAATTGAATATTCAACTAATCAAAGAAAGCAGTGCAGGCCAGATATAAATTCAGAGAATTGGAATGACTCTCCCCTCATCATTTCCTCCCCTCCACTAATATTTGATTTGAGGATCCACCAAGCCTTTGAGGTTCAGCCATGTGAGTTTCAGTCTTTATTTCGTACATCACATTTCTCCTCTTTTTACCATTGCCCTTAAGTGGAGGTGATAATACTTTCCTTTTTCCAATAGCTGTATAAACTTTAAAAAGAGTGTATACTACTCTGTCTTGTGCATATATAATGCCAAGAAAAAATATTTTGCCCCACTGGGGGCTAAAGAAATGATTGTGCAGATGGACTTTTTTTCTCTACAGATACTTCAGAAAGTTATTCTGTTGCAATTTCTGGTATTATAGTCTGATATTAAATGCACAGAAAGGGGGCCTCCCTCGTGGCGCAAGGGGTTAAGACGCAACCTATGAAGCTATCTGCAGCCACTGCAGCGCGAGTTCGATCCCCTGCCAGGGAGCATCCCACATTGTGCAGCAGATGTCTCCTGACTCGCCCGCTGCTCCCCTCAGCAGTGTATTTCAGTCAATCTGCCTGTTCTGTTCCCCACTCTGTCTCTGGTGAATCCTCTCAACCCGCCCCCCACCTCAACCTGTGGCTTGTATCCTAGTTCTTGTATGCATAAATAAATAAATCTTTAAAAAATATATAAAAAATAAATGCACAGAAAGGGCTATTGCCAAGTCTCTATTAGCTGTTTTTTCACAAAAATAGTCATAGAAATCTTGAACCTGTATTAGGTATATACGTGTATGTTGCAGCAGGACAGGGGAGGGCTTGATGGGGAATAGCTCTGAACTGAACACTGAAGTTGATTTAAGTCTCCAGAGATTCCTAGTCTCGATGTGAGTGAGTATTGAAAAGATATACACATCAGCATATGCTCATTTTCAGCTTCTCACCCTTCTCCCCACTTCTGCCTCTACCTCACTCCATTCCAAAAGGTGTAAGTGATTGGGGCACATGTAATCGCTTCTCGGCCTTTTGGCTAAGATCAAGTGTGATTGGGGCACATGTTGTTTGTTGATGAGATATTAGTGGTAGCACCAAAACACCCATCTAGGGCTACTTTGTAACAGTTGTAGAAGGTGTCACCTCACAGTGGCTTTGTGGTCATTTACATAATGATAACATTGAAAATAAAGTTTTATTAATAGGAATTGTTAACCGCAAAATAGGAGTAGTTTCCTCTAACCAATAAGACACTGCCACCACTGAGCCTTGGCTATGATTTATTTCTCTCCAAGATGCAAGAGATGCTATATAGCTATCTACACAAAGAAGCTCCAGTTTTAACAGAGTATCTATGCAAATTATGTCATAATCTGAGTCTTTGCCACATTTCACATTTGCATGTGAAAAATTCTGTGTCACAGTTTTTGTGGAGGGCAGGAAAAGCCTTTTTGCACTATGATGTTTTATTGTTGCATTTGTACTGCAGCAATGAACTTAAGTATTCATATGCATACAGTTGCAAGTGTTAAACATGACTTCATGGAACCT